TTACACTATAAGAATTATTATATTATTATATATAAAACATCATATAGTGTAGATTTTTCAAGAAAACTTAATAAAAAAAATACGTTAAAGCCTATAAGTAATTCTTATAGTGTAACAAATGACCTGCCTAAGATAATTGAAAAGCGTCCATTATTTTAGAAGTTATTCAAATTTTTGTAAAACATTGAAAATGACGATTTTTTAAAAATGTCGAAATAAAGTATTGGCCAAATGACTTTTAAAAGATCTTGTTCTTTTTAAAATTTTAACATCTTTCAAAAAATAAAAAAAAAAAATTTTAGTTTCCCTACATTTTATGTTTTAAAATGTTTTTCAATCATCTGAAAATGGGTGGTCTCTCAATTGGGTTAGATTTTCTCAAGTGGACCTTAAATTTTCAAAAGTTGAAATTTATCACTGTAAATGTGCAAAAAGATAGTTCTATTAGAGTTACGAATAACCTGTAAATTTTATTAAAAAATATTCAATTGTTTATTTTTTATAAACAATTGAAATTTTATGCATAACATTTTTAAAAAATGCATAACTTTGACAAAAATTGACGAAACTTGATGATTCTTTTTGCAAATTAACTATGAAATTACAAACTTTATAAAAATAATGTTTACTCCATCAAAGCTCTTAATTTGTTATAAAAAATAATTATTTATTATAAACAAATTAAAAATAAAACGTGTTCTGGATAACCATATTTAATTTTATAAATAAGAACTTTAAGAGAATTTATTAAGGATTGCATATCAAAAAGAAAAAATTGTTTCAAGCAAATATTTTATTAATTATGAATTTTTTTGTAAGCGCGCGCAAGCTCCGTGATGTGGGCTCCCGCGTCTGACGAATGTCGTGTGCCCCGCTTTGCACGCTTTAACTTGTTTATTTTGGAAGGTTTTCTTTCATAATTTTTTTCAAATTTGGTTTGTATGTTTTGAACTAAAATTCGATTGGAATACTTGTTTATAATAAAATTAGTAATATATTATTTTATTTATATTTATTTATGTAATCAATTTTAAGTTTATTTTGTTTAATTGTTTTCAGTTGAATATTTCTTGCTTCCAGAAAAACAAGTTTTAACTAATTTTTTTGTATTATATAATTTAAAAATATTTTGCTTCCTCATAATGGAAGCCTTATAGTGATGTCGATTTCCGAATTTTTTAAAACCAATTATTTTTACAAATTTTCAAGTGTAGTATATATAATTCGTCGAGAGGAACAAATGTCCGGATGTATGTGTGTATGTATGTGTGTGTGTGTGTATGTCACCGATTTAAAAAATATCTAAAAAAAAAATTTTTTTTCAACAATTTTTTAATTTTTGAAAAAATAATTTTTGGATTTTTTGAAGTAACTTTTTTCTATATTAAAATTTTTATTAATTCTTGTCAAAATTGCATTCCTGACATAAAAACGAATCGATTCATGTATATGAAGTATATATTTTATCAAAATTTATAGAATTAATAAATATTTTAAATTTTCACAAAAAATTGAAATTTTGTATTTTTTGACATTTTATCTTAACACTTTAAAATAATTATTCTAAAATAAAAAATTAAACAATTGGTATATATATTATATTAAGGAAGCTTAATGATCATGAAATGAACAACTTGTTTAATTTACTTGTAAACTTCCGTACCTATTAAAATTAAAAAGCAGTAATACAATATATTTTACTACTAAACAGATTAAAATTTTTATGAGTGTTTTAATGCAATCTGCTCGGTAAGCTAATGTGGTAAAATTTTGTTCAAAATTACGTGAAGGTAAAAAAAATTTTACTCAAACTGAAAGGATTTTTATAAAATTTATTTCATAAAAAAATTATATTGTAATTTATAGTATAGTATAAAATAAGTTTTTTAAAAATCCTTTCAGTTTGAGGATTTTGTAAAATTTTATTTGTAAAAAGATAATATTGTAATATAAATTTTTTAAAAGTTCGTTCAGTTTGAGTAAAATTTTTTTTTACTTTCACGTAATTTTGAACAAAATTTTACCACATTATGCTTACCGAGGAAATTGCCTTAAAACCCTCATAAAAATTGTAGTCTGTTTAGTAGTAAAATATATTGTATTACTACTTTTTATTTTTAATAGGTACGAAAGTTTACAAGTAAATATATAAAATTATAGAATTAAGAAAAATCAGTTAAAACATGTTTTTTTCGAAGCGAGAAATATTCAACTGAAAACAATTAAATAACAAAAAAATAGTTTTGTTTTAAGCGGATTCCTTTTTTTTTAATGCATATTTTCATCTTGAATATGGCTCAAAAATAATCCTCTTATCTTAAGAGCAAAATACTCTTCCATTAAGTGTAATATTCTTGATTCAAGAGGAATTTTCCTCTCAAAAAAAGAATATTTTTTTTCAGTGAATAAACTTAAAATAGAAATTATAAATAAATAATATAAATAAAATAATGTATTACTATTTTTATTATAAACAAGTATTCCAATTGAATTTTAGATCAAAACATACAAACCAAATTTGAAAAAAATTATGAAAGAAAACCTTCCAAAATAAACAAGTTAAAGCGTGCAAAGCGGGGCACACGACATTCGTCAGACGCGGGAGCCCACATCACGGAGCTTGCGCGCGCTTACAAAAAAATTCATAATTAATAAAATATTTGCTTGAAACAATTTTTTCTTTTTGATATGCAATCCTTAATAAATTCTCTTAAAGTTCTTATTTATAAAATTGAATATGGTTATCCAGAACACGTTTTATTTTTAATTGGTTTATAATAAATAATTATTTTTTATAACAAATTAAGAGCTTCGATGGAGTAAACATTATTTTTATAAAGTTTGTAATTTCATAGTTAATTTGCAAAAAGAATCATCAAGTTTTGTCAATTTTCGTTAAAGTTATGCATTTTTTAAAAATGTTATGCATAAAATTTCAATTGTTTATAAAAAAAAAACAATTGAATATTTTTTAATAAAATTTACAGGTTATTCGTAACTCTAATAGAACTATCTTTTTGCACATTTACACTGATAAATTTCAACTTTTGAAAATTTAAAGTCCACTTGAGAAAATCTAACCCAATTTTGACCGGTAGTGTAATTTCCACGTCGTATAATATATTTTAAATCTTAAAATTTCTAATTGAATTTCTATTAAAGAGAAAAAATGGAAAACAGGAAAAATTAAGAAACTTTTAAAAATTCCATACCATTTCCATGATTTCCAGATTATGTAGGAACCCTGCATTTTAGCATACTTTTGCAAAAAATACTATCATATATCAAAGATGTAAGTATAAAAATGTTTTCAATATAAAAAAATCGAAAAAATTATAATTGATACCTACCAATTACTATGAAGCTTAATTCAGTAGTATTTTTGGGGTCTCTGATTATAATTTTGACGTCAAAATAATGCAATTCATAATTATTTGTTTTTCCAATTAATCTAATATTCTTTAATTACAAGAACTTCAGAAATATTGAAAATGAGATGAGCAATGTAATGACAAAAGTTAAACACGGTGTCTATTTTTGTTTAACAAAATTCCCAGCTTTGTCCAAATTTTACCCGGTTTATTTTTTTCATCAAATTTAAATTTACTTGATTTTAACCATAAATAAATCTACAAATGGCTATAAAAATTTACTTATTTTATGAGAATACTCTTGTTTAAGTTCATATAAATATAGATTATATTACTAGCTGTCGTACCCATATTCGACAGGTTTTTGTTTCTGCTAATAGATTTAACAGGGTGTCTACCAAACGGGAAAAATTGGGAAAAAGCCGGGAATATGCCGAACCGGGAATTTTCTTATCAAATTAAGAAAAAGCTTTATTATATTAATTAGCTTTTAAAAAATTTCTTTTTACTTTAATTTTTATTGATGTATAATATTTATGAAAACAGACCCGAGTCAAAATTTAAGCCCTACTTTCAGCCTAAAATATAGGTCTTATTTTAGATTTTAGCAGTCGTACCGTAGGGTCTACTTACGATACAATTAGTTCAAATTAGACTCTAGTATAACTCCAAAAACTGGTAGAAATTTTGAATTACTTTTTAATACATTAAATAAAAAACTACAAATTGACAAATATTGTTCTCTGCATTTAAATTGGTTAAAAATAACTAATTTGATAATAAAAAGGCAGTTAATAATTCAAATAGTAATATTTTTCTAATGAGATAGTTAATAGTAACTAATCATTATTTTTTTTCCAGTCAAATTAAATTCTATTCACGTTTTCGAGGTTGTCAGACACACTGTTAAATGTATTGGTAGAAACTAAAACCCATCGAAGACGGGTACGACAGCCAGTATTAAATGAAATTGTTAATTGTTAAAAAATTATGATTCAGAAATAGGAAATATATTCATTTTATGCATAATTTTTATTTCTCAAGAACAATATTGTTCACAAACTCATTCTTTTATTTTGGGGAAAAAATCATTACATATTCCCGTTTCCTAATATTTTTGCAGAAAATTCCCAATTTTCATAAAGAAATAATTTGCATTATTTCTATGTCTTAATTGCAATTGCTTTAATAAAATTCAATGTTTTTTAAAATTAAAGGAAAACAATGTATTTTTGTGTCTCATTGCAAATAAAAATACTGAGTCAGAATTCGTGGAATTTTCACGAAAAGTAAAGTTTTTTCTATAATCGAAATGTTGAAACTACCTAATACAGTCTGACATTGGTATTCAGTTTTTCAGTAATTTAGTAACAAACTAATTCTATTTCTAAAATCTTAAGTTATTTACTGTTACCAAAGAAGTAAATTTACATAAATTTGATAGTAGAAAGCAATGTACTTTACTTTTTTTAAATATTTTATTTTGATCCAGTTTTTCGTACAGTTGAGGAAATTTTGTCTTCATAAAATTATATATTCTACAACAGTTGAGGTTGCGTGGAAGGGGCTTTTACAAGATGTGAGACGACTCTAAAAGTTTCGTCTTCAGTTTTCACCTCCCTCAGGTAGAATTTACAACCAAAATAGTTTTGAACCGGTTTCCTAGTCTTTCACTGTCGTTTGGTTATAGGCATTTTCATACATTGTCAAAATTCCACTAAAATTGTCTAATTACACTATGAATCTCATCGAAAAAATAGAATATCTAGTGAAAAAATATTTTACAATGTGCATGTTCAGTTTAATTATCTTGTTAACAATTATTACCTTTTTTAATTCAAGATACAAGTGCTTGGCTATTATGTTATTCTTATTCACAATTGGTAAATATAACACATAAAAATATGTTTCTACAGACACATACACATAAATTAGATTAAATGTTTAGGTAATTTATCTTTATTGAAAGCAAAATAAATAAATTCACGATGAAATTGTAAATGCGCTGTATCAGCAAAATATAGGATAGGTACAATTTCCCAGACTATATAAGTTATGTGAAACGAAACATCATACTTTCAGATAAGTTAAATTGTAGTCTTATATAGTGAATTCAAAATCAAACATAGGTACTATTTCTCCAAAAAAATCTTAAGGAAGAATCACAGAAAAAATATAAGAACAAAAGTCAGTCAAATATCATAATTTTGTATTTTATATGAAAAAGATAAATTAGAAACTTAATTTAGTTGATGCGTAAAGAATAAATTTTCAATACTTAAACAATTAAAATTGCATTTGAAAAAAATTACAATTTTTTGTCAATAAGAAACCTAAAAGGGCTTAGGGGGTTAAGTGTGCAAAAACTGCCCCCGCATCTATTTTTCTCAAATTTGGCCCCTATATTACTATCCATATGACTATAACTTTCTGCAATTTTGAACTCAAAATTCGCTTTTTTGGGGGAGTTATGGAGGGGGAAAGCAAAATCAAAAAACTTATTTTTCTCGAAAACTACTGAACCGATTTTAATGAAATTTTAAGAGGTTGCAGATATAGATAAGACGATTTTAGAAAAAAAAATTTTCAAATTTTCAAAAATTTTTTTTAGGGTTATTTTTTGAAGTGACCACTTTCTCTTTTGTTTTAAAAAGTATCTTATAATGTCCCCTTTAACATATATTTTTTCCAAATTTTTTAAAAATATAGTTTTTGAGTAAAATGTCAAAAACCATGGTCATGCTATTTGTCACGTATACGGTAATGCACATATACATATGGGCAATTTCATGTGATAGGGTATAGCCAAATAAGTATGGAAAAAGTGACCCGAATATATTTTTCCCATTCATTCCTACCCACTTAAAAATAACTTTTTGAAATTTTTAACTCAAAATTTTGGGTTTTTTGGAACTTATGGAGAGGAAAAAATCGAAAAACGCATTTTCCTCAAAAACTACTGTATGCATTTTAATCAGCTTTGGATATGTTGAAAAGACAATTAAAGAGATTCCAAAAAAAATTTCAAATTATTTTTTTAAAAAATTCCAAAAATCTTTTTTTTTGAAAATTTCAAAATAAAATTTTTTTGAAATTTTCAAAAAAAAAATTTGTTTAAATCTATTAAAGTGAAATTTTTATGTATTTTCTCATTTCATTCTCTTATGTCATCTACTTAATAAAAAAATTTTGCTTGACATGATTTCAGGGTGTGTCACGGTACATTTTTATGTTGTATGTAAATGGTTAATTTTAAAAAACCTGTCAAATATTTTTGCAACTTATTACTAGTGGGTTATTGAGGTTGCTAAATACAAATCTAATGTTACTATAAAAAATAATTTTAGACAAAGAAAAAAATTTTGAAAATTTTAAAATCAAATTTTAGGATTTTTTGAGTTTTTTTTTACCGTGTCCCACTCTAAAATCATCTAGGCCATTATTCTTTGATAAGTAAGACTGTTAAAAAAGTTAAATAAAAAAAGTGTGATGTACCGCTTCAACGATCAAAAAAGAAAAAAATTTTAAATGCCAAAATAAAATTTTTTGGATTTTTCTTTGGAAATAATTTTTTTTAACATTGATTCCAGACTTGTATTCAGAAAACCCCTAAGTATTAATTTGTGATTAAACAAATAATTAATTAATTAACCATTTACATACAGCATAAAAATGTATCGGGTATGGTTTTTGAGTTATTTACCGTGACACACCCTGAAATCATGTAAAGCAAAATTTTTTTATTAAGTAGATGACATAAGTGAATGAAATGAGAAAATACATAAAAATTTCACTGTAATAGATTTAAACAAATTTTTTTTGAAAATTTCAAAAAAATTTTATTTTGAAATTTTCAAAAAAAAAAGATGTTTGGAATTTTTTGAAAAAATAATTTGAAATTTTTTTTGGAATCTCTTTAATTGTCTTTTCAACATATCCAAAGCTGATTAAAATGCATACAGTAGTTTTTGAGGAAAATGCGTTTTTCGATTTTTTCCTCTCCATAAGTTCCAAAAAACCCAAAATTTTGAGTTAAAAATTTCAAAAAGTTATTTTTAAGTGGGTAGGAATGAATGGGAAAAATATATTCGGGTCACTTTTTCCATACTTATTTGGCTATACCCTATCACATGAAATTGCCCATATGTATATATGTGCATTACCGTATACGTGACAAATAGCATGACCATGGTTTTTGACATTTTACTCAAAAACTATATTTTTAAAAAATTTGGAAAAAATATATGTTAAAGGGGACATTATAAGATACTTTTTACAACAAAAGAGAAAGTGGTCACTTCAAAAAATAACCCTAAAAAAAATTTTTGAAAATTTCAAAATTTTTTTTTCTAAAATCGTCTTATCTATATCTGCAACCTCTTAAAATTTCATTAAAATCGGTTCAGTAGTTTTCGAGAAAAATAAGTTTTTTGATTTTGCTTTCCCCCTCCATAACTCCTCTAAAAAAGCGAATTTTGAGTTCAAAATTGCAGAAAGTTATAGTCATATGGATAGTAATATATGGGCCAAATTTGAGAAAAATAGATGCGGGGGCAGTTTTTGCACACTTAACCCCCTAAGCCCTTTAACAAATATTTCTTATTGACAAAAATTTGTAATTTTTATTCAAATGCAATTTTCAATAATAATTATGTTTAAATTGTTGAATTTAAAAATCTTTACCCTTTCACTAAAACAACGTTAAAATACACTACCGTCCACGAGTATCAGGACGATTACAAGCGACTCTATGAAAAAACATGCCATCACTTTTTCAATCATATCTCGTAAATAAAAGGAGATACAAAAAATCTTAAATACGGTTAGAAAGCTGATTAAATTTTGCGTAAAATAAGCCGTCTTTGAAGTCATTTCGTTAACTGTTTTTTGAGCTGTAGAGTGAGAAAGAAATGAAAAAAATTATCAAATTTTCTCATTTTTCTCTCTTGACATTAACTTTTTCAAAAATCTAAAAAAAATTTAGATAAAAGTTTTTTAAAAACACAGAAATCTTCGTTAGAATTTCAGCTTTAAAATATGCCTTTGAAAATTAAAAAAGGGTAATCGGTCTTTGATATATCATTAAAAATGTGAAGCCGTGTTGCGACCGATAGGTGCATTGAAATTCAACTGTGACGATTCGATTCTAGCTTCGCGCGGCCGCGAATGGGAGAGAAAACAGAGACGGATTTATGCTGGGAAATAATAAATAATGATGTTTCACAAGTAATATAAAGAAACTCGAAAGTTCATCGTTCCCCGCATGAATTCGTCTCTGATTTCTCTCTCATTCCCAGCCGCTCGAAGCCAGAATCGAGTTGTCAGAGTTGAATTTCAATGCACTAATCGGTCGAAACACGGCTTCACATTTTTAATGATATATCAAAGACGGATTAATCTTTTTTAATTTTCGAAGGCTTATTTTAAACCTGAAATTCAAACGAAGATTTCTGTGTTTTTAAAAAACTTTTATCTATATTTTTTTAGATTTTTGAAAAAGTTAAAGTCAAGAGACAAAAATGAGAAAATTTGATAATTTTTTTTATTTATCTCTCACTCTACAACTTAAAAAATAGTTAACGAAATTACTTCAAAGATGGCTTATTTTACGCAAAATTTAATCAGGTTTCTAACCGTATTTAACATTTTTTTGTATCTCCTTTTATTTACGAGATATGATTGAAAAAATGATGACATGTTTTTTCATAGAGTCGCGTGTAATCGTCCTGATACTCGTGGACGGTAGCGTAGAATTTGACTTTTTGTTTTAAAATATGAAATTATTATATTACTCTTGTAGAAACTGCAGTAAATATCCTTATTAATATTGCAGCTTTTGTAAGGTCCTTATAAGGTTGCCTTATTAACATTCCCCAATGTTCAAAGTGGGCTTGTGTAACTCTAATCCCAATTAATTCCCAAGGTTGGGAAATCCCATAGTTGGAGCCAGATTTAGTTATTTCATTGTTATTAGGTATTGCTATTTAAAGTTGTTAATTATTGATTATATAAATATTTTAACAATAAAAGAGTAAATAATATGAATTGTTTACACTAACGTCGGGAATTACCGGTACGGCTGCACGCGCACGGCCCAAAAACATACTAATCTTTAAATCACGATTTTCTTGTAAATACAAATGTCAGAAAATTAACAAATATACCATTCGAAAGATTATTAAATTCTACGATTAATGATATATAACTGAAAATTTTAATAATTTATATAAAGATTGCAGCAAACCACAAATTTGACAAAAATTAAATTTTTTTGTCAAATTTGTGGGTTGCTGCAATATTTATATAAATTATTAAAATTTTCAGTTATATATCATTAATCGTAGAATTTAATAATCTTTCGAATGGTATATTTGTTAATTTTTGACATTTGTATTTATAGGCCAGTCGGTGAGTGCAAAAAGTGCACATAAGTGCAACCTGAAAAGTCGAAGCAGTTTCTTGTAGTTTGAGGGCCCCAAATAAAAGCCCCATAGTTTGCACCACATTTCCGGTTGCGAAAAATGGTGTAAACAATCGCCAAAGTTCGAAAAACATGGTTTTTCGATGACTGTTGCTTCCGGTTAAATTTTAGGGGAAAAAGTTGTGATTGAAAGTTATAGAGCTTGGAAATAGCTTTCAAATGATTGGTCGCAAGTTAAAAAAGCTTAATTAGTTTAGTTGCAAATGAATTTAAACCATTAAATATAGCACTTTTTTAATTGTTTAATAACTTTGTTAATAATTATCGAATTTGTTTCTAACTTCCCAGAAATATTCCCCTTGCGAGGCTGAATAAATCCAAAAAAAAATCAACTTGATCGGGTAAATAGTTTATGCATAATTCCATTTGTTAACTAAAAACATGTAATTTTTCAACGGAATT